TATATATATATGTATATATATATACTATACTATACATACTACTAAAAAATAGTTGTTTACCTTAAGTGCATTAGTAAATACTATATCCTTAAGTAACTTAATGATTCTTTAGTCTATACATTGATAATAACACTAAGTAGAAGTGTAAGTATCCTTAAGAAATATTAATGATTGATTAGTTTATGAATGGATAATAACCTAAGTAGAAATACATTAGTAGTACCACTGAGTAATGTTAGGCATGATTATACTATAATTCGATATACTATACTAAACTATAGATACATCATAATATAGCTAATGTTATATCGAATATTGTTAGTAGTATCATTAAGTAATGTTAGGCTTGATTATACTATAATTCGATATACTGTACTAAACTATAGAGACATCTTAATATAGTTAATGTTATATCTAATATAGTTTATATATATATATATATAAACTATATACACATACATACATACATACATACATACATACATACATACATACATACATACATACATACATACATACATACATACATACTATACTACACTATATATACTATACACACTACTAAAAACTGTTGTTTACCGATGCAGTAGTACCTACAGACTTTTTTTGTCGCTTATAGTAATTAGTAAGTGTATTAGTTGTAATTAGCTTATAGATTGACATTACACTAAGTATATGCCCATTAGTAGTATCAGAACTATTATTGATTGATTAGCTTATACATTGAGAATTACATTATTTAGAAGTATATTAGTAATACCAATAAGAAAAATTAGTGATTGATTAGTCTATACACTGAAAATTCTCCTAAGTAGAAGTGTATTAGCAATATTCTTAAGAAATATTACTCATTGATTAGTTTATAAAATGATAACTACACTAAGTAGAAGTGCATTAGTGATATCCATAAATAATATTAGAATAATTACACATAATATTACACATAAATTATATAGTAAGAATAATTATATGTTAGGTTTTTGTAAAATATTAGTTTGATTTTCATTGATTCATAGTAATTTGTTAGCTAGAATTTAATTAATTGACAAAGATTGGTGATTGTTTAATCTATATCAATATCTATACTATATTAAAAGCACGAAGGCACTTAGCGAAATTCTCCGCCTCACTCATTTGTTATTGGTTTAATAATTTATTAGGGCAATACTAACGCAGCCTTTCCACCAAAGAAAAAAGAGTTCACCTAAATAGACGAATGGCAGATTTAGATCTACCTGACGACATCACTACAATTGTTCTCTCAAATTTACCCGTGAAATCCCTGCTGCGATTCAAGTGTGTTTCTAAGCCATGGAATTCTTGGATTTCAAGCCGTCGACGAAAAGGAGCCATTGCTCGGATTTCTAATTGGAACTCTACACTTTCCTTCCGATTCATAAACCAACAACTCACTTCAGAAAAAACCAATGATATTAAGCTGCTAAGTTGTAGCTTTATGGGTTCTTGTGATGGTCTTATACTGATTTGTCGAGACGAGCATATTTACTTGTGGAATCCTGCCACCCAATTTTGTGCCAAAGTGCTTGAGCTTGACTTCTTGAATGACGATGACTATTATATACGTGCGGGACTTTGTTTTGACTCCTCCAAAAATGTTCACAAGTCTGTGTTGATTATGCACAAAGATTTTCGTCGTGAATTTGTTATAGTTGCTAGTTTTAAAGACCGTGATGGGATTACAGTACATGGACGACTTCACTACAGGTGAAGGGTTAAAAAGAAAGAAGAGAGTAATTGTGATCCTTTGGGATAGTTTGAGATAGTGTGCTTGTTTTTCTAGTGTAAATAATGTTTTGGTTTAGCTAGATTACTTTTATATAATTTAAGAGAATAGATATAAAAGTTTTATTTTTGTACTGAAGATCTTTTGGTAGAAGAGAATTCATATAGCAAATGGATGGTGAAATCTCAAACTAAATAGAATCTTATCCTCACAAATATAAGGTTGAATCATGATCTTCCTTCAGTATTTTAAATACTATACTAATACCTTAAAAGCTCTACATCAAAACAAAATGCAACTCTTGCATTTATTATGTTCGAATAATATACTCGAAATCACAATCTATAATTTAAAACTGCCAACTGGACCAATATTAATTAAAATAACCCAAGAGCATATCAAAATTCCTATTAAGGTAGGACAACAAATATTTCGAGCTATTAATAGCACAATATTAAAAATATAATACAAAAGATTAGTATTAACTAATGATTAAATGACAGTAAAATATTTATACATATAGCAGATTTTGTTCAATTCAAATAAGCAAAAATCAAGCTGTTTAAAAAAGCAGCCCTAGTATTTAATATATTTTCCTATTTTTTCTCACTATTCTATACCATATTTTATATTTTTGTTAGAAACCAATCCATTCCATAATAGATTTTTTCCTTTCCATACATGGAACTTTTTATATAATGTAATGTAGCAAATTATACATCTTATATTCTAATGAAATAAAATACATATATTTTACGAAAAAATTATAATGTATGTTTATGGTAAATATACATTATAAATATGCCATTTATATTTTGCAGTAATATAATACGCATATTTGTACAAATTATCCGTAGATAAATAGTATACGTGACATATTTTTTTCTATATACATATAAGTGGCATATTAATATTCTAGATTAAATTTTATGTAAGGTATATGCTAGCAATATATTTTATATTGATGGTATATTTACATTGTAAATTATTACAAAATATAATATAATTGAAAGATATTAAATGTATATTTTTAGTTAAAATAAAATTATACAGAAAAAAGTTTAAAACTCAAAAAATAAAGAAATACGAAGATTCTCATTGTGTAGAGAGAATTATTTTTAGATATTCTTATTTCAGAATCTTTGATATATTTGGGTACATATTATTTATGAAAGAGAAAAAAGATGTTATAGAAGAGTCAGGAAAAAGGAAATGTAGTAAAAAGTGTATTAATGCAGAGAGATCCCTTAGTTAATGGAGTTGTTAAAGTGAAAGTGCTAAAAAGGTAAAAAAAAAAAAAAATGTAACGACCCAGCCGGTCGTTTTTAGAATTTACACCTCGTTCCTCTATTAACTGCTTCCTCTAAGTTCATTTCTACTATTTTGGTTTGCCGGGACGTTCGGTATTGGGATTCGGAGTGTTTTGGGACACTTAAGGTGTTTTTGGTATAACGGAAAATATTTTCCGTGGAAAATATTTTCTTGAAAAACAAGTAGTAATCTTATTCATTTTCCGGTGTTTGGTATGCAAATTAAGGAAAATGAATTCTCAAGAGTATTCATAAATAATTTAGATATAATAAATATGAAGCCATAAACTTTCAAAGTAACAACCTTCTGGACCCACAAATTTCATAAACTTTCGAACCGTTAAACATTCAAAATCGCAAAATTTCGAACACCGTAAACTTTCAAACACATAAACCTCTGAACTCATAATTTTGGAACTTGTAAAATTTTGAGCATTTAAACCGATAAGTAATAAAATTAAACTGAAAAATCTATTTTAAAAAAAAAACATTTCGAGG